GGCAGTATCCCACAAATTTTGATGCATTTTGTTTTTATTAAGTTCAGTGTGTTTTCTTCATTGCTCTTGGATTGTTTTAACTTGTCCTGTTTATTAATGTCCACATGTTTGGAGATATTTCCCTTTCTTTTTCTGTTGAATCTTTTGCCTTTGAACTGTGGTGTAGAAAAAAGACTACTGGATATCCATGGACTGTCAAAAGAACAAACAAAAAAGAAAGATGCTTGAATGGCAAACAGACACATGAAGAAATGCTCCAAAACACTGGCAATAAGAGAGATGCAAATCAAAACCACAATGAGTTACTATCTCACTCCTGTAAAAGTAGCAAAGCTTAACAGGACAGAAAGTAATAAATGTTGGAGGGGATGTGGCAAGAAAGGAAGCCTTCCGCATTGTTGGTGGGATTGTATAATGGTACAACCATTCTGGAAAGCAGCTTGGTACTTCCTCAAAAAGCAGAATATAGAAACTCCGTATGACCCAGCTATTCCACTACTTGGAATATACCCTGAGGAAACAAGAACCGAGGCACAAACTGAGATTTGTACACTAGTGTTCATAGCAGAATTATTCACCTTTGCAAGAACATGGAAACAGCCCAAATGTCCAACCACAAATTAATGTATTGAGAAATTATGGTACATTCACACAATGGAATATTATGCAGCACACAGGAGCAATGATTCTGTAAATCACTATCTGACTTGGGAAGGACTGGAAAGCATTATGCTGAGTGAACTAGCTCAGTCCCACAAGGATAAATATCATATAATACTATATTATATATCATATAATATTATTGTAGAATGAGTATAAGGATCCAAGAGGGATGGGAGAGGCTGGAAGCAGAGTAGAGGGATGTGGATGGGGGGTAATTAATCATGAGGTTGTACAATTTGATGGGGGTGGTGAGGAAAAGTGAATTTGTTCTTGAAATCAATGTGTTCAAATTTTGTAAATAAACCAGTAGAAAATAAAAGAAAATAATTTTTTGAAAAAGAAGATGCAACCAAGGGTGCATCTTAGGGGCAAGGATGGTGTACTTTAGAGGCAAGGAAGAAACGTAATCTCCTATACTTTGAGCATATTGTCAGGGAAAAGCATACTTTACGCATGATGTCCCTGGAAAAAGACAACATGCTGGGTGAGAAAAAGAGGAAGACCCCCAACAAGGTGGATTGATACAGTGACTGTAACAATGGGCGTATCAGAGATCACGAGGACGGCGCAGGATAGGGCACGGTTCACATCTGTTGTGCACGAGGTTGCTATGAATTATATTCGACTCAGTGGCACCTTACAGCAACTTCCTTTTATTGATTTTCTTAGAAAGGACCTCCATCCAAAACTTGGTCCATGACACTCCATACAGCAAGAGAATTTGAGAGAAAATTCATTACTGACACAAGAGATTCATACATAGAGCCAGTAAGGAGGTCTGGATTGGCTCAGGCAAAGCAATGGGAGTGAGAATCTGGAATGAGTGTGACAGTGAGATGCCTGAAGATGAACTCTTATCATGATCCTCTCCAGCAATGGGGCCAAAGCCAAAGGGAGAGTGAGATCTAAAATAAAATTAGCAAACATCAAAAATTAAGACAAGGCTTCATTTCAGATCTCTAGTTTGGTTGCACTGTGTTTAGAAGGTACTCTCTTTACATGTTCATTTCTCTTCAATTCCTAGATGTTTGTTTATGGCCAAAGATATGGTCTACCTCTGTGTGTGTAACCTGGTACTTGAGGAGAGTGAATAGTCTACTGTTTCTAGGAAAAGTATTTTATGAATATCAGAATTACAATTTTACAAAAAGAATAAATAAAGCAGTCTTAAAAGAAAAAATCAATTAGAGCTTATTTGTTGATGGTGTTAAGGACTTCAATCTCTTGCTAATTTGTCTATCTCGCTGTTCTGTCAGTTTCTGAGAGAGGAGAGAGTAAAATGCCCAACTGTAATTGTGGGTTTTTCTGCTTCTCCTTTCTGTTCCGCCAGCTTCTGCTTCACATAATCATCTGTGCTTTTGTTTGGTCCACATTTATAATAGCTCTGGCCTCTTGTGGATTGGCCCGCTCTCATCTGCCTCGTCTCTGATAATTTTCTTTGCCCTTTACATCTGCGTGTATGCTGTTGATATAGCCATTCCTACTTTTCTTTTGTTTGCATGATGTATCTTTCCCTGTCCTTTTCTTTTCAAACTGCCTCAAACTGGAAAAAAAAAAACACCAAACAAACCTCAAGCTCATTGTCACTCAGTTAGAACCAACTCATGGCTGACCCTGCACTGGATTTCTGAAGGACATTTCCCATCTTTCTACCATGGAGTCCTTGGTGGATCCGAACCTCCAGAGAGGCTCTGCTTTGGGGCTAGCAGTACAGTTCCCTATGTACTATGCCACCAGAACTCTTTCAAGCTACCTGCAGTGTTATATTTGAAATGAGTTTATTATAGACAATGAGTAATTAGAACACGATTCTTCATCTCTTCTCTTTTGTTCCATCACTCACTGCCCTCAAGAAAGAACTGACTCATAGCTGACCCTCCCCTGTGTTTTCAGAGACTGTAAACCAAACAGGAGAAGATTGCCCATCGTTCTCCCATGGGGCAGGTTGTGGATTCAAACCACCTGCCAGAGCAACTCCTTATCCACTAGGCCAACAGATCTCCCTCTGGTTGCCTTAGTGCTTTCTGCTCTCGGTTCCCAGGATTTAGTTTTCCAAGTATCTCCAGATTCCCCCCCCACACACTCATTTGCTCACCTTTCCCATCATCCATACCCTCAGCTTGATAATATGAATTACATTGTTATTCTTAGAGGTCCTTGACTCATGGCCACCCCACGATCAACAGGTAGGTCCTGTACCATCCCCGTGACTGGCTGCAGGGTAAATGACTGATGAATAGGGTCTTCAGTAGATCTTCAAACCTTCTGATATCACATGCAAACAAGATTCTGCTGAAGATTATCCAAAAATGACTGGAAGAGCACATCAACAGAGAAATACCAGAAGTGCATGCTGGATTTAGAAGGGGTCGTGGTACTAGGGATATTGTAGCTGATGTTAGATGGATCATAGCTAAAAGCAGGGAATACCCGAAGAATGTCTATCTGTGTTTCATTGATTATGCAAAGGCGATTGATTGTGTGGATCATAGCAAACTGTGGGTGACTCTGGGAAGAATGGGAATCCCAGAATATTTAATCATCCTAATGGGAAGCCTATACTTGGACCAAGAGGCAGTCATCAGAACAGAGCAGGGTAACACTGCATGGTTGAAAATTGGGAAAGGTGTATGCCAGGGATGTGTCCTATCTCCATACCTTTTCAACCTGTATGCAGAGCAGATTATCCGAGAGGCTGGGCACTATGAGGAGAAATGTGGCATCAGGATTGGTGGAAGATCTATTAACAATCTGCATTATGCAGATGACACAACCCTGCTTGCTGAAACTGAGGAGGACCTCATGCACTTGCTGCAGAGGGTCAAGGACTGCAGTCTTCAGTATGGACTGAGGCTCAATGTCAAGAAGTCAAAGATTCTCACCACTGGACCAATTGGTAGCACCAGGATGGATGGTGAAGAGATTGAGATTGTTCACAGTTTCAGTTTGCTCCGCTCCACGGTCAACACTCTTGGCACCAGTAGCCAGGAAATAAAAAAACGTATTGCGATGGGAAAGTCTGCTGTTAGGGACCTCTCTAAAGTACTCAAAAGCAACGGTGTCTCTCTGGAGACTAAGGTGTGCCTGATACAGGCCATCGTCTTTGCAATCACTTGTTATGCATCAGTTGGACAATGACTAGGGAGGATAGAAGGAGAATTGATGCCTTTGAGCTGTGGTGCTGGAGAAGAGTATTGAATGTACTGTGGACTGCCAAGAAAACAAACAGATTCATCCCTGAGAGGCTTAAGCCAGGCTACTCCTTGGAGGCAAGGATTCTGGGACTTCATCTGACATACTTTGGACATGTTGTAAGGAGAGACAGGTCCTTGGAGGGGGACATCATGCTTGGGAGGGTGGAGGGACAGCGCAGGAAGGGAAGAACGTCTATGAGATGAATTGATTCAGTGACTGGGGTAATCAGGATGGGTGTGTCAGAGGCAGTGCGATTGGCACAGGATAGAGCAGGGTTTAGGGCTGTTGTACATAGGGTCGCTATGAGTCGCAAACGACTCGACGGCACATAACAACAAGTCAAGTGCATTAAAAGAGACAAAATAGATGCTATATGTTTCTTATTTTTTAAAACAAGTCATATTAATATTAAAACACACTGAAGATAAATGGCTCCATATAGGAATCTCTAGTAGCCTAGTCTTGGAGGAAGTGCAGCCAGACTGCTCCTTGGAGGCAAAGATGATAAAGCTTCATTTGCATGCTTTGGTCATGTTGCTAGGAGAGACTATTTCTTGGAAAGGGATATCATGCTTGGAAAGTCTAGCAAAAGAGAAAAAGACCCTCAATAAGATTGATAAAAGCGACTGTGTCAGGGGTCTCAAGTATGTCAGAGATGATAAGGACTACGTAGGATAGGACATGGTTCAGATCTGTGTTTCATAGGGTCACTATGAATCATACTTGCTTCAACAATGGCCTAGTGGATAGGAAGTTGTGCTGCTAATCTGATGGCTTATGATTCAAATCCATGAGCTACACTCAGGGAGAAAGATGAGTAATCTCCTCTTACATGATTTACAGCCTCTGACAACCCATGGAAGGGTCAGTGATGAGTCAATTCTGGCTCAATGACACATAACAACACATAGTATAGTCCTTCTTTATAATTTCATTGTTTGGTATATGGCAGTCTTGTCTGGAGCCAAGTCTTTTGCATGGATTCAAGCTGTTGACTTTTTTTGAGAAGACAAACTATTTTAGAGTAGGGTTAACTTTTGTGTTAGGTTCCAAAGTCAATTTAGAGATGAAAGTAAATCTACTGGCAAAAAGTGGCTCAGAATTCAGACGTTTTCTTTTTCTTTTGCTTTCTCCTTTCCCAGACGGCCTGACAGCATTAGTTCAGAAGAAAGCATGGAAAACTTTTTACAAGATGAGTTGGACTACGACATGGTAACCAGCTTACATTTTCTTTTCACTTCAATATTATATTTGGTAACCAGTACACATGCCCATTTCTTCTTTGCCATTAAATTTTTCTCTTCCAAATATTCTACCAAACATTCAGAAGGAAATCTGATTATCATACCATTAATCAAATGATGAGGGACCACTTAACGCATACAAATATGTGTAGTTTAGCTTTGTTATGAAATGTATAATGCAAAATAAGTGACTGAGATATTCAATCAGGAGATCTCTATCTATGTAATACTCCTATAAAAAATGTTCACTTTTTGAATGCTTTTAAGTTTTTCAGAGCTTGCTCTCTGTTAGGGAAATAATGCGACAAATCAGCCTCCAACAAAACAGCCCTTTATTGCTCTAAGATTGACGTGGCACTGACTTCACTAAATACAACCACAAACACACAAAAGAATAAAAACTACTCTCCATTATTATATATTGCATGCCTTACGCCAAGAAATTTTGCTAAAACTGTGTTTCTTTAAAGTATTGAGTATAATCAAGTTGAAAGCCACTCAGAGCTGACCCTCCAGCAGGTTTTTAGGGGCAGTAAATTGACTCAGGGGGTGATCACCCATCTGTCTCCCTTAAAACAGTTAGTGGATTTGAACTGTTTGCCTTTGGGTTAGCAGCACAGCTCCTTACCAGTAAGTTACCAGAGCTCCTTTTTTGAATTGATACATACTTATTCTAGAAAATATGTTAAGAAAAGAGAAGATCATGAAAATGTGTAAAGAGGGGTATAAACTTCACACCTGTGTTCTCCTCCTCCCTTTTTTCTCAAGCCTATCTTTCATTCTTCTTCCTGCCTCTTCCCTCTGCTCATGCCCTATCCTTCCTCATTCTTTCTCTTTTTCTCACCCCTTTCTTCCTTTTGCTTTTCCCCTTGAGCCTGAGTGGTGCATTGAATAAACCCAACCAAAAAGTCATCAGTTTGAACTCACCAGCCACTGCATGGGTGAAAGATGTAGCAATCTGTTTCTATAAAGATTGCAGCTTTGGAAACCCTATAGGGCAGTTCTCTTCTATCCTGTAGAGTTGCTATGAGTCAGGACTGGTGCAATAGTATTTTATTTCCCTTCTGAAACACCTCACATATGCCTACCTCCAATACACACCCCCAAAGAGCCTCTTCTTGAGAGCCAGTTCTACCCTGGAAATAGATGTCATTCTGCCCACACCACACCTCCCTCATGATCAGAACAGGGTTCCTTTCCTTCACTGTATTTGTCTAGTTAAATCACAAGTCATAGGTAACATCTTTTCCAGTGAATGATGTTATTCATTGTTGGTTGAGTAGGAACCTGAGCTGTATTTCAGAGAACCCGAAGAGCTGCTTCAGGTACTCACAGAGCTGGAAGAGCAGAATCTTACTTTGATCCAATACTCCCAAGATGTAGATGAAAATCTTGAAGATGTGAATAAAAGAGAAAAACTTATTCAGGATAAAATGTAAGTCCCTGAAACAAGATTTATTCTCTATGGTGAATACTAATCAGAGACTAGTTCTGACCAATTAATGGATGAGCCTTCCTCTTTGTTATTCTAGAATTAAAGCTGAGATATGTATATTTCTCATTTCATTGTAAAAGGTGAAGTTACACTTTCACCATTGAACTTTTACCTCTACAATCTTTTCATTTTTAAAAATATTTCTCTAGCTAGCAATAACAGAAGATAGTTTAAAAGAATCATAATTTAATTATCATTTGATGATTAAAAGAATTAAAATGGTGCTTAACCATCTTACTTTTGGTCCAGTATAGTTTTCAACGTGTCACCAGGCTAGCTGTCATCTCTTTAATCAAATAATTTTGGATGATAGTGCTGATGAGTGCATTTTACACAGCAAAATAGCTCTTTCTTGAGACTAAATACATAATTTTGAAATGCAAATATCAACATATGGGGGTAAGATATGGGATTTCTCTAAAGAAAGAGAAGTTGGATTTAATGATTCAGAAAATTTCTTTCTACTGGAAAATCTTATATGATTATAACTCTGGAAAATATAAAATAAAAAGGAAGTGAATCGATTTTTACACATACATGTTGTAAAAATGTGTAAACTCTTTTACCAAACGATTTGCTGGGCCATAAAATGGCAATCTTTAAAAACAATAGGTCCAATGGCATTTCATATTAAAGCACATTAACTTGCTCAGAAGGTAAAAACTTAAAAATTACTTTTACACAATTCATTACCACTGTAATTACCTTGCCCTTTTCCCAATTTTCATAGCATGTGGTTTCCAGCCCCAGACTATGATTTGCAGTGTGGTGAGGGTGGAGAAGTGAAATGTTTAGTCAGGCAGGAAGGAAAAAATCTGTATCAACATCTCTCTAAGGTATCTTTACCAGAATGGCTAGGCAAAGGAGTCGGGAATATTTTCTGTATTTTTAATCTTTAAAGAAACCAGTTGCCAATGAGCTAACTCCCAAATGCACAGTGATCTTGTGTATGTCAGAGTAGAATTATGCTCCATAGGTTTTCAAAACTCTTGTGTTTTGTTGGGTTTCAATAAAAACAAACCTGGTGTAAAAAAGAGCAAGTGCCACATGGGGATGGCCATCTGGCATTTACTAGCTTAATAAAGGGAAACTGTCTCTGTCCACAGCATCAATAACACAAAACCAATTCCCATGAGATCATACACGTCCACCATGCTCTCATACCTCTTTCTACTCCTCTCAATACCAGTCTGACTGCTCTGGTGGGCCCAAAATCCAATGTGATAGTTCACAGACCACACCATATTAGGGAATCAGAAGGTTATAATTCAGATTAATAGTGGAATACAGTCAAGACAGCTCTCAAAATGTGCATACAGGTACATCAGCCTCAAGCTTCATGACTCTACGTGTTCCCAGATTCTCAGTATTGTCTTCCTCCCCAATTGTCAAAAGTTCTCAGTCCTGCCAATATTAGCTCTCCACCCAATTGTCCAACAAAGTTCTCAGACCTACCAACATTGGTTCAACACTCAATTGTCCAACAAATTCTCAGTCCTGCCGATATTGTCACATACACCCCCACAACCTCCTCTAAGGTCTCATCTCACCTCCCATCAATTCTCCGGTTCAGCCATGGCTGCTGCTGCTGATGCTGTCCAGAAGCATGTCCTATATTTCACCAGGTTGAGGGAAATCTCTCTTCTCTGTGGAGGAAGAATTCCATCTCTTCTGGTAGGGGAAGATTCCTATTCTCTGTAGCTAGAGCTGTTCAATTTATTGGTGAGGCTAGACAACCCTCTTGTAGATTGTTGAGACTGGCCAATCCCCTTGTGGAATGGTAGATAACCAACTCTTTGGTGGATAAACCAGCAATCTTCACTCACATAGTCCTGCCTCTTCACAGATAGAAAAGCCATGCCAAGAGATAAACTTCATGCCAGGTTTTTCTTACAAGGTTCCACTGGGAACTCAAACCACCAACTTTTCTGTTAGCAGCTGAACATGATAATTTTTCCTACCACTTGGGATATTCCCTTTGTTGTTGTTATGTGCTGTTGAGTTGTTTACAACTCCTAGTGCCCTTACGTACAATAGCCCTGGAACTTCCTCTATCCTGTGCCAACTTTACTGTCTCTGACACACCTACCCTCATTATCCCAGTCACTGTATCAATCCATCTCATCTATGGTCTCCCTCTCTTTCTCCATCCCTCCACCATTCCAAACACGATGTCCCTCTCCAAGGATCAGTCCCTCCTTACAATATGTCCCAAGTATGTCATACAAAGCTTCAAAATCCTTACCTCCAAGAAGCAGCCTGGTTTCACCTTCTCTTGGATGAACCTGTTTGTTCTCCTGACAGTTCATGGTATACTCAACACTCTTTTCCAGCACCACAGCTCAAAGGCATCAATTCTCTGTCTATCATCCCTAGTAATTTTCCAGCTCTCTGATGCATAGCAAGCAATTGCAAAGACTATGGTCTGGATCAGGCATACCTTAGTCTACAGACTGACATTGTTGCTCTCCAGTATGCTGTAGAGGTCCCTGACAGCTGACTTTCCAAATGCAATTCATCTCTTGATTTCCTGGCCAATGGTACCAAGAATGTTGATTGGGGAACCAAGCAAACTGAAGCTCTTAATAATCTCAATCTCTTCACCATCTATCATGATGCTGCCAATCGGCCCAGTGGTGAGAATCTTTGTTTCCTTGATGTTGAGCTTCAATCCATATTGATGGCTGCAGTCCTTGGCCCCCTGCAGCAAGCACTTCAAGTGCTCCTCAGTTTCAGCATGCAGGATTGTGTCATCTGTGTCACACTCCTCCAAATATAGCCCAGCCTCCCAGATAGTCTGTTCTGCAAATAGACTGAAAAAGTATGGAGGCTCCTTTTTGGCTGGAATCACCATCCTGCAGTGATCCACCAAAATGACGAACATAAAGGGAAAGAGGAGAGGCCCTTTAGGAAACATGGATTTCTTCCTTTGGCCACTTATATGTGAATCTACAAGACAGGAGATATTGTAGACGTCAAAGGAATGGGCATTGTTCTAAAAGGAATGCCTCACAAATGTTACCATGGCAAAACCGGAAGAGTCACAGTGCTACCCAGCATGCTGTTGGCATCGTTGTGAACAAACAAGTTAAGGGTAAAATTCTTGCCAAGCAAAGTAATGTGCACGCTGGGAATATTAAGCACTCTCAGATACAGCTTCCTGAAATGAGTGAAGGAAAATGATCAGAGAAAGAAGGCAGGCAAGGAGAAAGGCGCTTGAGTCCAGCTGAAATGCCAGCCCGCTCCCCTCCCGCCGCCACCTCGCAAAGAGGCAAACTTTGTGAGAAAGAATGGAAAGGGGCCCGAGATGCTGGAACCCATTCCCTATGAATTCTTGGCATAATAAAAATGAAATAAGGCTGTCTAGTAAGAGAAAAAAGAAAAGGTATGGTGACAGAATACATCCCTTGTGTACACCCTTCCTGATTTTGAACCATGCAGTGTCTCTCCTTGCTCTGTTCTGACGACTGCCTCCTGGTCCAAGTATAGATTTTGCATTAGCATGATCCAGAATGGATTCCCATTCTTCTCAGAGTCAGCCAGTTTTGATTTACGCAGTCAAATGCCTTTGCATAGTTAATAAAACACATAGACATTCCTCTGGTACTCTCTGCTTTCAGCCATGATCCGTGTAACATTAGCTATAATATCTCTAGTACCATGGCCTCTTCTAAACCTGTCTGCACACCTGGCAGTTCTCTGTTGATGTACTGCTCCAGTCGTTTTTGGATCATTTTCAACAAACTCTTGCTTGCATGTGGTATTAATGGTATTGTTTGATAACTTCCACACTCTGTTGGGTCACTTTTGGGATGGGAACAAATATACATCTCTTCCAGTCAGTTGGCCAGGTGGTTGTCTTCCAGATATCTTGGCACAACTTAATGAGTGCATTCAGGGCAATGTCTGTTTGTTGAAATATGTCAATTGGTATGCTGTCCGTTCCTGGAGCCTTGCTTTTTTTCCAATTCTTTCAGATCAACTTGAACTTCCTGTTTCATTACCACAGGCTCTTGTTCATACATTGTTTCATGAAATTCTTCTGTGTCAGCCAATTCCTTTTGGTTCAATGACTCTGTATACTCCTTCCACCTTCTTTTATTCCTGTTCTTACCATCAGGTGAAATCCATGTGTATAGCCTGTGTTTGTGTTGCTTATAAAAGGTATTTGGGATGAATAAATCATTGAATGTGCAGAATTCTGTTGTTCTATCTCCAACTTCATTTCTGTCACTGAGTCCATGTTTTCTAACTACTGATTGTTCTTCCCTATTCCCAGTCACCGATTATTATTAATGCATCTTGATTGCATGTTCGATTGATTTTTGACTGCAAAAGTTGGTAGAAATCTTCTATTTCCTTCTCTTTGGCTCTAGTTGTTGGTGCATATATTTGAATTATAGTGGCATTCACTGGAATTCCTTGTATGCCTATGGATATTATCCTGTCACTCACCACATTGTACTTCAAGATGGATCTAGAAATAACTTTTTTAATTATGAAAGCAACCCCATTTTTTCTCACCTTTTCAACTCTGGTATAGTAGATCATATGATCATCTGAGTCAAAATGTCCCATGCCAAGCCATCTCACTTCACCAATACCTAATATGTCAATATTTATTTGTTTGATTTCTTTCATAACAATGTCCAATATTCACTTTAGATCACTAAATATTCTGATTATCAGACATGTTTAAGATGATTTTCATACTAGCAGTGTATTATGACTTGATTTCCTAACATCTCCACTCTCCCACTCCACGTGGAGGAATACAGAGGACCCACAAAAACAAGGGAGGGGAATAAAACGTGTCTTGATAGATATTAAAAGCTGTACTTTTTCATTAATCCCTCTGACTTGAAAAGCTGAATGTACTTTGTCAATATTTTTAAGTATAGACTGTGTGTAGGCTGTTGACACATAATCTGGAAAGAATGTTCAAACTCCTGACTGAAGGTTTTGTCCCTACACCAGAATTACAGACAAGGGTCTCTTTCTTCTTTTGCCACAGAAATGCCAACATAGAGTTTCTTGTGGAGCAAAAGGAAATGCTTAAGGCTAACTGCTTGAGAGAAGAAGAAAAAGCAGCAGAACTGAAATTAAGGTCTAGGCTGTTCAGTTTTGGAGAATTTAATTCCGAAATCCAGGTAATTCTTTGTCTGTGGTATTTTTAGCTCATGATAATAATAATTTCCATTTGCTGTGTACTAAGCATTTTAATAAAGTCCATCACAAATCCTAGACTGATGGGAGAGAAAGAAAATTACATCTTGTCAGTGTATAGTAGTTAACTGAAGTAAGTTGGTAGAAAGCATGCACATCTTAATACGTGGCTTGAGGTATTATAGTATTGAGCTTTCCTCCCTATAAATACACCTCTTCCAGACAAAGGGCAAGTTGTTCCATGACTGGCATTAGTGGGAGCAAGTAATGAACAGAAGAAGCCCTGAATAAACTGAAAATGAAAATGAAAAATTTGACCAACAGAGAGCTTGTAATGGATTCAGGGTCTGCGCAGATGGACTCCATAGCAAAGCACCTGTGATTTCAGATTACTGGGATCCACAATCAGCACCCTTGCTACCAGCAATCAGGGAGATTAGGAGACATTGCATTGGGCAAATCCACTGTCAGGGATCTCTCCAAATTACTGAGTAGCAAGGATAACAATTTGAAGACTTAAGGTGCACTTGATTCAGACCATGCATGGTTTTTCAATCGCTTGCTGTGCATCTGATAGCCAGACAGTGAATAAAAATAATAGACGAACTGATGTTTTTGAGTTCTGGTGTTGGAGAAGACACCGAATATCCCACAAATGGCCAAGAAAACAGACGTCTTAGAAAAAGCACAGCCAGTGTGCTCCTTGGAGGCATGGATGGCACAACTTCATCTCACATATTTTGAGCATGTTGCTAGGAGAGGCTGTTATTTGGAAGGGGATATCGTGCTTGTAAAGGCAGAGCGTCCGCAAGAGAGAGGAATGCCCTCAACGAGATGGATTGACACAGTGATTACAGCAGCAGGCAGAAGTGTGTCGCAGAGGGTGAGGATGGCACAGGAGGGGACAGGCTTCACAGCGGTTGTTCACAGGGTCGCTGTGAGCCATACTTGACTTGATGGCACCCAACAGTAATAATAGCATACCTAATAACAACAACAACACAACAATAACTGTCAAATAGGCAACCCAGAGGTAGGCAGTTTGAATCCACCAGCGGCTCTGTGGGTGAAAGATGGGTAATTTCCTTCCGTCCTATTTCCTGCTTCTGAAAACCCACTGGAGGGCCAGCTATGAGTCCGTCCTGACTCAACACTACATAACAGCAACTGTACCTAAAAATGAAACTAAACCCACTACTGTTGAGTTGGTTCCAAGTTATAAAAATCCTCCATGGGTTTCTAAGGCAGTAAATCTTAACAGGATAAGACCGCCTGTTCTTCAGAAAAGCATCTGGTAGATTCAAACTCCCACCTTTTGTTAGTAGCCCAACATGAAACAAACTGTGTAACCAGAACTCCTGAATCTCCTAAAAAATATTTTTCCTTGATTCAATTTTATTTTTAGATAAAATGTTCATTTCCAGTATAATGTAATAATAAAACATAGAAAACATCACAAATCATGTGTATCATATGGAATTTTTTCAAAGTGAACACACTTATGTATACATACACACACGCCCCAGATTAAGGAATCAGGAACCGAGCATGACCAGCACCCAGAAACCTCATCTTCACCATCCTGCAGATATGACCATTAGCATTCTTGTTTTTGAAGTTCAAAAAAGAGTGATCATGTAAAGTGTCCAGTTTCTTTCTCTCAAAATTATAAATTTGATTGATCCGTGTTCTGTTGCATAGCAATTGTTTTGCTCATTTCTATTTCCTTATGCTATTCCATTGTTTCATTTGTGAGCATATTCATTTCTGGCCTTTGTTATCCTTCCACAAAGAAAGCTGGTCAAGTTCCATCAGGAGGATTAAGTCAGCACAGAGTACAATACAACATGGATTAGAACTACAGAATCACTGAGTTGGAAAGGAGTCTAAGTGACATCTAGACACATCTCTCCCTCCCCCGGCTCCTCTGTTTCTACCCAGCTTTAATATGATGAGTCTGCTTAAGACATTGCTGTGGTCCCTCCCCACTCAACTGTTCAAAAGCATCCAGAGCTCTAATCCTGGTATTCAGTCTTCCATAGCCCTGTCCCACTTACCTTGGGAGGATGGGAGGGGTTGGCATCCTTTGCAGCTTTCCTTGGCAGCCTCTCCTCTGAAGTATGCTGGGCTGGGTCTGCCATCTGGTGGCAGTCCCTAGAATCAGCTGATAGTTCATTTCCTTGCTGTCCTTAAGCCAATGGCCAGAGAGAGCTTTATTTCCTTTTTCTTTTTTGCCTTTTGGGCTGAAGGCCAAGCTCTCCCTTACTTTCTTTTTGATACACAATTACTTTCTTTAATATCATTTGTCTCTCTTATTTTTTGTCTTACTTTTTAAAGAAAATAATCCATTTTTCTTCTCCTGTTTGACAAAGGGAACTTTTATGAAGGACATCCTGAGTGGCCACTGCCATGCGTAAAGCTCTTTCTAAATATTCAGAGTTCTCCTTCAAGAAATCTCCAAAGCTGCTAAACATTCTCATACTAGAGTTGCTTTTTCTCAGAACTATTACTTGGTATGTTGTTGTTGTTATGTGCCGTGGAGTTGCAACAGCTCTGAAACCTGCTCTATCCTGTGCCAACCTTATTGTCTCTGACACAGCTACCCTCATTACTCCAGTCACTGAATAAATTCATCTTATCGAGGGTCTTCCTCTCTTGCACTGTCCCTCCACCTTCCCAAGCATGATGACCCTCTCCAAAGACTGGTCCCTCCTCACAACATGCCTAAAATATGTCAAATGAAGTTTCAAAATAGTTGCTTTCAAGGAGCAGCCAGTCTGTTCTCACCCTCTCCAGGATGAACCTGTTTATTCTCCTGGCAGCCCATGGTATATTCAATACTCTTCTTCAGCACCACAGCTCAAAGGTTCTTCTCTATCATCCCTTGTTATTGTCCAGCTTTCTGATACATAGCAAGTAATTGTGAAGACTATAGGTGTGGCATTCACTTCCTAAACAACATGCCTCTGAAAACTCTATGAATTTTGAGAAATGATGATAGTTACAGAAAGGTTTAAGGTCTTTTGTTCATAGGGTTGCTATGAGTTGTTCTCGACTCGACCGCAATCAACAACAACAACAACAAAAAAACACACACATGGCCTGGATCAGGCACACCTTACTCTCCAGACTGACACTGCTGCTCTTCAGTACTCTGGAGAGGACCCTGACAGCAGACTTTCCCAATGCACTTCATTTTTTTACTTCCTGGTTGCTGATACCAAGAGTGTTGATTGTAGAGCCAAGCAAACTTAAGCTGTTAACAATCTCAATCTCTTCACCATCTATCATAATGCTGCCAATTGACCTAGTGTTGAGAATCTTTGTTTTCTTGATGTTGCTTCAACCCATATTGAAGGTGCAGTCCTTGGCCTTCTGCAGCAAGCACTTCAAGTCCTCCTCAGTTTCAGCAAACAGGATTGTGTATCTGCATAACATAGGTTGATGAAGGAAGTGCTCTCTTATATCCGTTCCACAGCTGTTAAGGATTTGTAAACCCATGTGACTGAAGTTAAGGTAGCTGGCGATCATTCAACCAGCAGGGGCTAATAAAGCCAATCACCAAGCTTCCTGACACCACAGAGACCTTTAGCGCAAACACTACAATCAAATGTTCTGTTAAATAAGGTATTGAAGAGACAGAGTTTTGGCATCAGATCTCTGCTTTTAAAAGCACGTGATCTGCAGGGCATTTGTGCCAGGGCTGGGAGCCACAGTCGTCTCAAGTCCTTTGTCTTGCCTTATGTGGTTCTCAGTTTCCTGAAAAGCAGAAACTGAGTGAGGGCATGTCCAGTAACGCCGTTTACTTTCCCAGCGGTTTACAGAGTTCTTTTTAACTATGAGTGCCGGGCACTAATAGGAGAGTAGGTGAGCTGGAATAGATGACTCCAGCTCCAGGGTGGCTACTGCCACAGAGTCCCAGCGGCCAGACACTGGGGCCAGCAAAGTGTGACCTTAGCCAACACTTTCGACATCACAGATGGTGACTTAGAAATACTGCAAGGGGGTCTGAATGAATACACAGTGAAAGCTGTTGTTAGGTGCTATCGAGTTAGCTGCAACTCGTGATCTGTGCACAACAGAATGAAACCTTGCTCACAATACGCCGTTGTCACAGTATCTGCTGTGTTCAAACCCACTGTTGTAGTCACCGCGTCAGTTCATCCCCTAGAGGATCTTCCTCTCTTTCACGGAGTCTCTGCTTTTATTTCACTGATCCGCTGACTTCCTTCTCCAGGGATTGGCTCTTGCAAACAGTATGCCCAAAATATGGGAGACTAAGTCTTATTTCCTTCCTCCTAAAGATTACCCTGGCTACACCTTAAGATGGAGTTGCCTTTTTTGTTATTGACTCACTTTGAAATGCATGCGGGGAATTACACACACACACACACACACACACACACACACACACACACAATGGGAGAATGCATTTAGTCACTGAGTCAGCATTTAACAAGTGTATAGTTATGTGAAAGGCTCTTACTAAGTGTACAAAGCAGGGCACTCTGGCGGTGTCGTCTGCAGGGAATTGCAGGTTGCTAACCCCAAGCTCATAACAAACTGTGGCTGACTCTGAGAAGAATGGGAATCCCAGAACATTTAATCGTGCTAATGTGAAACTTATACTTGGATCAAGAGGCCGTAGTCAGAGCAGGGTAACACTGCATGGTTCAAAATTGGGAAGGGTGTACGCCAGGGATGTGTCCTGTTCCCATACCTTTTCAACCTGTATGCAGAGCAGATTACCCGAGAGGCTGGGCTCTATGAGGAGAAGCATGGCATTAGGATTGGTGGAAGATCTATTAACAATCTCCGTTATGCAGGTGACACAACCCTGCTTGCTGAAACTGAGGAGGACCTCATGCACTTACTGCAGAGGGTCAAGGACTGCAGCCTTCAGTATGGACTCAGGCTCAATGTCAAGAAGACAAAGATCCTCACCACTGGACCAATCGGTAGCATCAGGATGGATGGCGAAGAGATTGAGATTGTTCACAGCTTCAGTTTGCTCGGCTCCACAGTCAACACTCTTGGCACCAGTAGCCATGAAATCAAAAAACATATTGCGATGGGAAAGTCTGCGGTTAGGGGCCTCTCTAAAGTACTCAAGAGCAACGGTATCTCTCTGGAGACTAAGGTCCGCCTGATACAGGCCATGATTTTTGCAATCACTTGTTATGCATCAGAGAGTTGGACAATGACTAGGGAGGATAGAAGGAGAATTGACGCCTTTGAGCTGTGGTGCTGGAGAAGAGTATTGAATGTACCATGGACTGCCAAGAAAACAAACAGATTCATCCCAGAGAGGGTTAAACCAGGCTACTCCTTGGAGGCAAGGATTCTGGGGCTTTGTCTGACATACTTTGGACATGTTTTAAGGAGAGACAGGTCTTTAGAGAGGGACATCATGCTGGGTATAGTTGAGAGACAGCGCAGGAGGGGAAGACCCTCTATGAGGTGTATTGTTCAGTGACTGGGGTAATCAGGATGGGTGTGTCAGAGGCAATGCGATTGGCACAGGATAGAGCACGGTTTAGGGCTGTTGTACATAGGGTCGCTATGAGTCGCAAATGACTCGACAGCACATAACAACAACAACCCTAAGCTCTGGTGCTTCAGATCTACCAGTTGAGAAAGGCTCTTCTCAGAAAGCCCCCCAAGGGTCTGCTATGAGCTGGTTTGGAATCTGTGGCAATGACGTTGTTAGGTGCCATCTAGTACAAATCATAGCAACCCTATGAGTAATATATCGGAACCCTGTCCTATCCTGTGCCAACCTCACAATCTCCGACACACTCGAGCCCATTGCTGCAGTCACTGTGTCACTCCACCTGGTTGAGCATCTTTCTCTCCTTTGCTGCCCCTCCACTTTTCCAAGGATGATGTCCTCTCCAAGGAGTATCTTCTCCTAGTGACATACCACTGAGAGGACTTTGTTGTTGTTTTTCAAGGCATTGTTTCCTACATAAAAGTTTAAGCATCAAAAGTAGCCCCTCCTCTCCAGGTGCTTAGCCTAAAAAAAGAGATAAGATACAGAAATAATTATCGTACAAGTTGCCAACAATTTTAGGATTACAATTGGGAAGTTTATTGGTCCCAGAATATATCTTCTTCAGTGCTCAGGGAATCAGCCACACAAAATAACCAAGAAGAAAAAAGTTTTCTGTCTTGTTATAATTACTTTTCATATCTAGACTGAAATATTTTTTAGGAAAATAGTCCTAGATATAATATTATAATGATCTGGCTATCAGTCTTTATAGATTAAGTATCACTGCTCCATTCTCTCACCCCTCTATAATATAGTATTAAAAGTATCCCTAGTCCAAAAAAGAAGGGAAACAATTAGCATGTCTTTTCATTGTATTAAGGTAAAACATTTTACGTGTGTGTGTGTGTGTGAAAAATGAACTATTTATTTCAAAGTATTAAAATACTTTATTGATAATTTGGGTTGGGTTTTTTTTATAAAAAAATTACACTTGTTAAATGAGTAGTAAGTAATGTAAAGTTTTCTCTTTCTCATTTCTTCCCAATCTTAGGAAAAGTTGATTGAATCTCTTAATAAAAAAATCAATCAAGTGTACAGAGTCTGCATAGGAGATGCTGAGGTTGGCAGTCTTAACCCGGTTCAAAAGCTGGTCAAAGTGGAGTCTCGCCTGGTGGAACTAAGTGATCTCATCGAATCTGTTCCCAAAGAACATGTGGAGGCAATAGAGAAACAGAAGCAGAAAGAGCGGAGGCTAAAGTACTTAATGCCTTACAGTATCAGTTCAATGAATGCCTTCTTGTAATAAGCTCTGGTTTTGCTTGGATTCCACATGGTGTGAAGTCAGAGCCAACTCGGAGTTGACCCTCCAATGGGTTTTCAGAGGCTATAAATCAGAAGATGCCCCATCTTTCTCCCTCAGTCTCTAGTGGATTTGAACAGCCAGAGAGAAGGGCTGTCTTTGGGTTAGCAGCACAACTCTCTACGATGTAGGCCACCAGCTGATTCTCCAGCGTGTTTTCAGAGGCAGTGAATTGGTTAGGAGATTGCTCCTTCTTCCACAACACAGCTGGTGGATTCGAACCACTTGTACCTTTGAGATTACAGCACAGCTTCTTACCACCAGGCCACTGGAGTGCCCTTAAAGTGAAATAGCAGTGAGGAACCAGTTCCCTCACTCACTCTCTGATGGCTATCATGTCAGATCCAACTCACTGCGAAATAGTAATGGTGTACATCTTTCTTGCTTTCTATCTGTAATTAATAGTTACAGGGCTATCTTTTCTCTCTTGTGCCAGAGCCCGTGAGGAGAAATTGAAAGAAAAACAGAAGCACCAGGAGGAACGGCTCAAAGCTTCTCTGGAAAGAACTGTCTCACAACCAAAGAAAAAGGTTTGTGCTTTCTTCTCAGCAGTTCCATCAGTAGCAACGTGTGGAGTGTTTCTGTGATGTCCAACCAAACATCCCGTAGTCATCCAATTTATCCAGACTGACTGTCAGTAAATTAATCTTTCTTGTTCACAGCTTCATTCATTCATTGGTGTGGAGTCAGGACCAACTCTGAGTTGAGCCTCCAGTGGGTTTTCAGAGGCTCCAAATCAGAAGATGGACCTTATTTCTCCCTCAGTCACTGGTGGATTTGAACAGCCAGAGAGAGGGGCTGTCTTTGGCTTAGCAGCACAACTCCCTACAATGTAGTCCACAAGAGCTCCCTACAGATATTAAGCAAGTGTTTATAGAGAGAAGTTGGTGTGGTGTGCTATCCACTCAGAACTGACTCATAGCTGACTCTCTAGCGTATTTTCAGAGGCCGTGAATTGTACAATTACAATTATTTACAATTCGTTTATAATTATAAATTTACAATTATTAATTTATAATTAGTTACAATTTAATACCTCCATTTTCAATTTAAAATTATTCAAATAGTTCCATTTTCCATGAGACCCACTTTTTAGTAAAAGGTGAGATTTTCTCTTCATTATGAGTTGGAGTATGAAATATATAGCTCAGGAAGGCAATGACTATCATTCTAATCGCCACATAGCGCTTATTGTGTGCCTCCTCCCTACCCGTCTTTTTAGCTAAGTACAATATAACTGTAAAACAGGAAGCTGGTAGCCTCAAAAATGAGTTGTACCACCAGACCAAAGGCAGATGGATTGCATCCGCCAGTGGCTTTGCAGAATGATGGACAATCTCCTTCTGTGTGATTTAGAGTCTCTGAAGACCTACTAGAGGGTCAGCTGATGAGTTAATTGAAATTTGACAGCAGTGAGACCTATTAGAGAAGGAAAACTCAGATGTCTGTCTACTAAGAGAGGCAGCAAAAGAGAAGGAAACTCTCAATGAGAGAATGACACAGTGGATGAGCAATTGGCTCACCTATAGCAGGGACGGTGAGGATGGTCCAGGACAGGGCAGGGTTCACGTCTGCTGTTCATAGCATCACTATGAATTGTGGTCAACTTGACAGCACCAAACCACCACCACCACCCCCGAGGTCCAGTTCTCACAGGCTTCATTGTACTTGAAAAAACTTTAATTATTCTGACTGTTAAACATCATGTTAAGTACCATGTACAGATGTGCACTTTTCAGAAATCAACTTTGACATCTATAGCCAATAGATTTTGGAGGAAAATAACCTGTCTAGTAAGTCAATGATGTTAGGACAAATGGATCCCAACTTGCAAAAGACACAAACCTCAATCAAACTATGGACAAAAATTAATTTATCTAAATGTAAAAATGAAACTGTCATAAAGCATGGTACTAAATGACAGCAAAAATAAGAACAGCAAAAGAGAAAACTGACAAATCAAAAGTAAAAACTTTAGCACATCACAGGACCTTATCAAAAAAATGATGAGATAACCCCATTGACTGGGAGAAAAGATTTGGTATCCATATAATTGATAAGACTTTAATATCTAGACTATGTAAAGAACGCCTCTTGTTTGAAGAAGCTGGAATCTGGAAGGTAGGTCTTTTTTTATTTGACTAGCAATCAGTTGTGGGCTTTTTAACTTAATTAACAGTCAGAAATGGGCTGTTCTTTTTTATTTAATTAACAATCAGGTGTGGGCTAGGAGCCTCTTGTTTAAATCACTTAGAAACCAGTGGGTGGGCCTTTGTGATTAAAAGTTGGTTGGGTCCTCAGGCCTGAAGCCCCAATGCCTGGTGCCTAGTGTGAAGATTGATTTGCTACTAGAATTACAAACTAAATTGTCAGTTTTTGTGTTTGGGGGGAATATTGTTTTAATTGATAAAGCATTTTTCTGACAGTTTGCTGCACTGAGATAATTTCTGAATTGCTGGGATAGTGAATAGTGGGATGCTACTGGTGTGTCAAATGCCAAAAAGTTTTACCCATGGCTTTAGTAGAGCTTTCAGATTAAGGCAGATTAAGAAGTAGGATTGGACATCCACTTCTTAAACTACAGGTCTCTGAATAGTTATAATATAGTGGTAGAACCTGGATTGGAAGTCAGTCAAAATGAGGAAAAATAATGGCAAACATTCTTTAATAATCGTAGCATGAAATATATGTAGTTTGAATGTTGTAAAACTAAAAATTATGAAAAACGAAATGGAGAACATAAACATCAACATTCTAGACATTAGTAAGATGAGATGGACTAGCTTTGGTCACTTTGAATCAGATGTTCACATGGTATCCTGTGCTGGAAATGAAAAACAGAAGAATGGTGTTGCATTCAGTCAAAGTAAATTTCAAGTTCTATCCTGAAGTACAATATTGTGAGTGATAGGATACTGTCCACATTCATACAAGGAAGACCTGTTAATCTGACTATTATTCAACTAATTTTGTGCTGCCCAGGGACTAGTGTCTGAAGTGGTATCTCATTGTGGTTGGGATTTGCATTTCACTAATGACTAATGATGTTGAGCATCTTTTCATATGTCTGTTGGCCACTTCTAGCGAGTGGGTCTGCTAACCCAAAGGACAAGCCTCTGGCAATTTGAACCAACCAACCAACCAACCAACAGTTTCTTAGGAGAAAGATGGAAAGCATCAGATGAGTTGGTTCTGACTTCATTGCAATTTGAACTGTTGAGTTGACTGACCTTTGACTATCTTCGGTGAAATGACTGGGTCCTTTGCCCAATTTTTGGATTGTTTGTCTTTCTGTTGTGGAATTAAGGTATTCTTTACATTGTTTTTAGGTGTCATTGAGTCAAGTATGACCCACAGCAACCCTATGAAGAATAGATATCTACACTGTCCTATCCTGTGCCATTCCCACACTTCCTGACACATTGGACTATTGTTGTTGTTGTTGTTGTATAACATAGAGTCGGAACTGACCCATAGCTGATTCTCCAGCAGGTTTTCAGAGACAATTAGTTGCACAGGAGATTGGCCATCTTTCTCCTGCATAGCAGCTGGGGGCCTTGAACCACCCTTCAGGATTGTAGCACAGCTTCTTGCCACTAGGTCTATAGAGCTTCCTTATATGTTGAATAGGTATGGAGAAAGAATGCAACCCTGATGTACACCTACCCAGAGATGCCTTGTAAATTAGGCTTGGCATTGTCCCATCAAACCATGGGATTGATGCTTGTTGAAAATGACTCACCGGCAACTAATAGGATGGCTATTATCAGAAAAATTGAAAAGTACAAGTGCTGGCAAAATGTAGAGAAGCTGGGATGCTCATCCACTATCTGTGGGACTATGAAATTGTACAGCCACTGTATCTAATTTTGGTGGTTTTTCAAAGCTTTATACACAGACTTAGCATCTGACCTAACAATGCTACTCTTACATGTACACAAAAAAGAATTGTAAGTAGAGACAAATAGATACACTTGTTCATTACAGCATAATTGTCAAAAGGTGAAACCAAACCAAGTATCTTTTAGCACCTGAATGAATGAACTTTGAAAACATGCTGAGTGAACTCAGACACAAAAGAATATTGTATGCAAAGACATGTTGTGGTGGTTGTTATGTGCTATTGAGTTGCCTGTGACCCAATGTGCAGCAGCTCTGAAGCCTGCCTTATCCTGAATCAATCTCACTGATTCCAATACACCTAATCCCATTTCCCCAGTTACCGTATCAATCTCTCTCTTCCGGAGTCTTCCTCTCCTGTGCTGTTCCTCCAACCTTCTGAATATGATGTCCTTCTCTAAGGATCGATCCCTCCTAGCCACATGCCTAAAGCATGTGAGACTGAGCTTCAAAAATCCTAACCTCCAAGGGGAAAATTGGTTTCACCCTCTCCAAGAGAGACTTACTTGTTTTCTTGGCAGTCCATGGTATGTTCAAGACTCTTCTCCAGCATCACAACTCAAAGGCATCAATTCTTCTTCTGTCATCCTTAGTCATTGTCCAGCGATCTGATGCATACGTGCACCTTAGTCTCTAGACTAGCATCATTGCTCTTCAGCACTCTGGAGAGGTTCCTGACAGCAGATTTTCCGAATGCAATTCATCTTTTGATTTCGTGACTGCTGGTGCCAAGAGTGTTGATTGTGGAGCACTTCAAGCTGAAATTGTTAACAATCTCAATCTCTTCTCCATCCATCATGATGCTGCCACTCGGTCCTGTGGTGAGAATCTTTGTCTTCTTGATGTTGAGCTTCAATCCATATGGAAGACTACAGTCCTTGACCTTCTGCAGCAAGTGCTTCAGGTCCTCCTCAGTTTCAGCAAGTAATGTGTCATCTACATAAAGTAGGTTGTTGATGATGCAAAGGCATAGACCAAAGATTACTTAGCAGTCAGTGTGAAGAAGAAATGGGGATGGAAAAAGAAAGGCAAGAGGTATAGAGTTTTTGTTTTAGGTGAAGAAAAAAGTATTGGAAATGAATTATTATTACACAATACTAACTCAAATGTTCCTCATTCCTGTTGAGTCAGACTCAGACCAACTCAGAGCTGATCTTTCAACAGGTTCTCAAAGACTGTAAATTGCACAGGAGAAACACTCACCTTTCTCCCTTAGAGCAGCAGGTAGATTTGAATTGCCTGTTTTTGGGTTGGCAGCAAAACACCTTAGACACTAGGCCACTAGATCTCATTGCACAATGTAATGAATGCAATTATCACCAAATTGTACACATAAACATGACTGAAATGGTAACTGTTGTGGTATGTGTCACCACAATAAAATTACATTATTAGTTGAGGTTAAATATATATAACACCTCAACAATCAGATGAGAAATACTTGTTAATTGAATATTTTGATCATAGGATATAAATCAGTGTGATCTATTAAAACTAAAAAATGAAGCTAAAAAATAGAGTAAAAGTTAAAATTTTAGTTAAGTCTTTTGTCTTAAGGGTCTAATTATATCTATTTCAACTGAACATTTCCTACCAAGACTTTACTGCCTTGTTTCCTCAAGAGTTAATTATTGCTATAGCCCTCTCATATGTACATTATTTTCTAATGTATCAATCTTTCCTTTTCGACTATGAACATTGTAACCTTTGAATTCTCAAAGCTCTGAATTAACACAATGAAAATCAAAACATAGAAGTTTTTAACTTCATAGACCACTTTATCAGAAAGTATTAATGGCAGAGATTATCAAGGGAGATCCTTGACAGTTTAAAAAAATAAACAAAACTCTGACATAAGAAAAGGAAGTCAAGAATTCCAGTCCCTCCAGGGCATTTCAATTGTTATGACAGAATGTCATATGCTATTGTTTAGTTTTGCATGAGCCAGGAACTTTGTGCAATGCAGGGAAGAGCTCCACACAAAGAAATCATTCCGTTTAAAATATCAGTGACTTACTTTCTGAGAAACCAAATTTCATCTGGCATGACAGACTATGTATGTTAAATGCCTCCTCATTCATTCAGCTGCACAAATTCAGCAAAAACAGAGAAATTCCAAGGTTAAAAAATAATTTGGATAATGATGTTCCTGAGGAAATTAATAGATGGGAATCGAGATTTTTTTTTTACTCATGTTGTTTTTGTTGATTGCCTTTGAGTCAAGCATGACTCATAGCGACCCTATGAACAAAAGGCCTGAAGCCCCTCCACAACTATTGACATTAATCAAGGTTCGTTATTTAGGAAGTAAATACCACTCCTTTGACTCATAACCATATTTTATTGGTTTTGAGGCTGTAATTCTTTTGTTGTTCTTGGGTTGGTTTTTTAAATTAATATTTTTACCATTTATATACATTGTGTTCTATAAAGTCCTTCATTTACATTATATTTTGTTAATTTATATCATGGGATTTTTTTCTTCTTACAGTTATCCCACCACAAATACTTTCATGAAAGCATATAAACCAGCTACATCATGCTTCATGTCCTAATACTTTAGATAGCCAATTGTTCATCCCTATCAAACCAGTAATCTGAGAAAACAAGCACATCTCTTTTTTCTGAAGGATCATCTATCCATATCTGTCACCGACCACCCGACCACGGTCGTGACAAGAAACTCGAGGGGTTTCTTGGTGAAGAGCAGGTGAGGGACGAAGTCGGCGAAAATGAGAGTCTGCACACCAGGATGATGTAGAGAGCTCTAGTTTATTATCTTAAAAGCTTGCTTTTTATACATTTAAACTTGTTAAACTTGACTTACAGCCAACATTTTGTGATTACAAAGCTCACATAAGATTTTAACTAGAAAAAACAAAAAGAAAGTATTTTCTATTACTAAATAATAGCATCAGCTATTAAACATTCTTTGAACAAGAAACACAATGACCTTATGTTGGACATCTGCTAGACAATGGTTAATGGTTTACATTTCACTTCCTTTCCTCTCCTACTTTGTGTTACTGTATCTTAGCCACCTTTGTTTTTGCCTTTGTACTCATGTTTGTACTGTACCACATAAGGTCCAAGCCTAATGAATCTTAACATCTATTTTCCTACACTCTGGACCATTCCTATGTTTATCAATAGCTTTTGCAACTTGTTTCATAAGATTTTAATTTGTTTTTGTTTGGCAATGTGCACTAAGGCATACGACTTCCTTTAACTTGTTTTTACCAAGTTAACTTGTAATATTCAATTCTTTTTCCTTGGAATACAAAACGTCTGTATAAGGAAGAGGTACTGGTGTTGGAGTTGGCAGGACATATGGTCCTTTATAAGTACTTTCTTCCCACCACCTGTTATTTATCTGGTAATATTTCCTATTTCTTGAAGAGACCTTTACTTTTAGAGAAGTTTGTTTTTTGAGTCTTTTCTTAAACCTCTCTGTTTTATTCTCATTAACTATGACTTTCTGCTGTTGAAACTAGTCTAAACTTTCTCCTAATACACAATTACATTGCTGAATATGAGTTGCAAGTATCACAAAAGAGGGATTAGATACATACTCAAAGATCATATTCAAAATTATACTTTTAAGAACAATCTCAATTTCTTTTATATTTTCAGCTTGTTTGTTATCATTTCCAGGAACATCAAGTGGTTCCTGATTAAGGACTTTAGTTAAATCTTTATCCCAGTTCTGGTGAAGTTCCCCTGATTTTTCCCCAGAAACTCCCATTCTTATCACAGCACATAGCTTAAAAATAGAAAAGCAATTCCTAGAAGCAACTTAATTTCCAGAGGTTTCCCGGGATTATGAAGACCCATCTGTAACAAATATCCAGGCATCAGCCCACTCACAAGCACAGGGCTTGCAAGATTCCCTCTTATGCTATCCTTGAGGTCAGAGACCCCGTACAGGCGCTGACGTCCCATTTTGTCACACGGGCGTCGTGGCCGGAGAGGACAGCGAGGCGGGTGTGGCACATATCCATAAGCAATAGACAGTCCAGAAGCTATCAGGTTGCAGCAAACCACCCTAGTTCACAGCATCTTCTCTTCATCTGGTTGGGTTCCAGTCAACTCATCCCCAACTATCTGTGATTAGGTTTGAATGGGCATCAGCTGCAAGCTAAGTCCACACTAAGTCCCTGCGTTCCAGATCTTAGTGTGTGTATTCAACTCTAGCCCCATATGGGGATAAAGCCAACAGGCCAGGGGTCCTCATACGCCTTACTCCTCGAGCCAACAACCCTTTCCTGCTCGTCCACCCCTCTGTGCATATTAGATGAGCTGTGCTGAAGGAACATGTCCAAGCTCAGCCTATTTCTCCGTTGTATTCCTCCCACTTCACTCCTGTGGATTCAAGTGAGTATCCTTGAGTGAGCATACGTCAGGGGTAAAGATTGAGTCCCACCCATTACTCTAGGAAGATTTTATTTTAATGGGTTTGTGGATCCACATTAGATTGTTGATGGAAGAGATTCAAGTCTGAAAGGCCAACAGGAAAGGAGGAGAAAGATAGTCCTTCTATAACTGAACAAGCAGTTTGGCTTCTGAGGCAGGGTAAAGTTGGCACCCATCAGACCTTACTTCCAAGTCTTGAGAGCTTTCTCTTAAGCATTTCTTGGTGCAAAGACTTGCAATAGTCAAGTATCAGTATTTACGACAGTGCAGGAGTTCTTAGTTTGGTTTAATGATCTAAACGCCAGCTGTTGTTCAACACAAGTAACCTAATTCAGGAAGGAAAAACAGCTATGGAACTTACCAAGAAATACTGTCCACACCGTGTTTTTCAGTAGCTATCCTGGACCAATATATTCTATTTGATGTCCTTACAAAATCTCAATTACCCATAAAACATATCTTCTATCTTCTAACACAGGTGCTCAATGTATTACTTTGCCAAGCATGTTGAGATTATCTTTCTCTGTACTTAATAGACTATATTATTCATTGCAAAATCATTAATATTAGAATTTTACTTATAAGGAGCACTGGTGGCCTAGTGGGCAAGGAGTTGAGCTGCCAAACTGAAACCGAGCAGTTCAAATCCAACAACTGCTCCCCAGGAAAAAAAGGAGGCAGTCTACCTCTGTGCAATTTACAGCCTCTGAAAAACCCCGAAGGGTCAGCTTAATTATATATTTTTTTAAATAACCTTGTTGAAGTATTAAGTATTTTGTTTTCATTTTGTTTCAGTTGGGAAGACGACTTGTCTTTCGTTCAAGGCCTCTATCTGGTGACAAAAAGGAGCTACAGTTAGTCAGCGAGACGACAAAAACACAGGACGACGACGTTTTTTTTATTTGAATATAATTCGTAAGGCATTTTATTACCCAAAAAATTTTAGGCATATTTTTATATTTTGGTTTTGAGTAATAGTCTGCCCTCTATGCCAACGTAACCAGTTGGAAAAAGACAACCCTTAATTTTAACGATCATAGGTACGGGAATGGAAGCTCTATTCTTATGCTGAAACTTTTCTTTTTCCCAAATATCAAACAATAAAGCTTAACATTTATATCTGTATTTTTCAGCTGCTACCCAGTGGGTGTGGGAGGATGGGAAATCTCCTGTGCGAGTAACCACCTCTGAAAATGTGCTGGAGGGTCTGCTATGGATCTGTCCCAGCCGGATAGTACCTAACCACCACCACCACCACCCAGTTGGGTGTGTATATGTATGTATGTATCTGTGTATCTCCAAAGTGACTTTACTGATGCAAATTTATGTAAATGGCCCCTGAAGTGTAAGAAAATGGCCATTCTGACACGAGAATTTGTTTACTTGACCAATCTACAGGAAAATTCACTGCACATGTTTTATCATTGTGAAATATACATTTTAATATTTTACAAATCCAAAACTAGAAATCTGAAAGTTTTTTGGGGGGTTTAAAATTTAAGAGAAAAACACTAGATTATGCTCTTACACACAATTGTTTTCCACTGACCCATACATAGCTAACCTTCCAGTGGTTTTTCAGAGGCAGTTACTCAGAGACTGCCCATCCTTTACCCACAGAGCAGCTAGTAGATTGGAACCATCTGCCACCTAAGTGGGACTGGTTTTGGGGTTTTTTTAAAAAAAATCCTTTTAATGAACATTTACAGAGATTTTGGATTTCCATACATTCATTGTTTCATTTTTCTTCCTGCCCATCCCTTCCCCCCCCAGTTCTCACTTCTCTTTGAAAAGTACAATTATTTCATTGGTACAGAATCTCCCCGCTCCCGCGCTACTGCCCTGCCCTGAGTAGACTCCACTATGCAACCTTAATTCCGGACTCTTGTCATAACCATAATACCCAATCATTTACTGCTTTCAAACAGTTCTCTCCCTCATCTATTTCAATGCAGTATACGTAATTTATCCAATTTTTCTCAGTCTCACCCCAATCCTCAGTCCCATTCTACAAGTGGCACCATGCAGTATTTGTCCTTTTGTGACCGAGATATTTCACTCAGCATAATGTCCTCCAAGGTCACCCATTTTGAATATTGCACGAGTTCCTTGTTTTTCAATGCAGCTTAGTATTCCATTGTGTGAATATACCACAGCTTCTCTATCCATTGTTGATTGGCACTTACGTTATTTCCAACTCTTTGCTATTGTGAACAAAGCCACAATAAACATGGGTGTGCATATTATCTGCCTGCATGGCAGTTATGGTTTCTTTAGGGTATTATTCCCAGTAATGGAATTGTTGGGTCAAATGGTATTTCTATTTGCAACTTTTTGAGAGCATGCCATACAGCCTTCCATAGTGGGTGCACCATTTTACACTCCCACCAACAGTGAACAAGTGTTCCAGTTTCTCTGCAACCTCGCCAGCATTTGTTGTTTCCAAGGCTGGTTTTTGTTTTGTTTTGAATTATTATTTTGTGTGTGTGTACCGTCAAATTGGATCAGACTGGTACAGAAAGATATTGTCCCTCCTTCAGCAGAGCATCTGGTGGATCTGAACCACGTGCCTCTGGGATTGCAGTGCAGCTTCTTGCCTGAGACTGGTTTTTATGTTACATTCACAAGTTCTGTTTAGCAAACTTGTAGACGAGCAAAGGATATACCTAAACGACCATTCACAATTTCTGCTCTGTGCTACTTCACATTCATTTTCAACTGAGGGTACAATTTTAACTTAAAATATGTATCCTCTTTAGCTTATATTGATATATAGAATTAACATGTAATTTACCAATTTTTAAAATAATAAGTAAGAAAATGTTTAGATTAGTTAAAAATAGCCTTAGGGGTGTGCAGGTGGATAGTATACCAATGAAAGAATTTTATTTTTCAAAGAGGGGAGCGAACTGTGAGGGGAGGGCTGGGCAGGGAGAAAAGTGCAACAATGAATGAATGGAAATCCAAAATCTCTGTAAATGTTCATTAAAATTAATAAAATTTAAAAAAAACAACAACTTTAAAAGTAGCAATTGTTTTAAAGTTCTGTTAATATATAGGGAGTTCTGGTGGCCTGCAGTTAAGACCCTGAACTGCAATCCCAAAGGCACATGGTTCCTATCCACTAGCTGCTCCACGAAGGATGAGCAATCTCCTCTCATGTGCTTTTCTGCCTCTGAGCTTGCTGGACGGTCAGAGTTGGCTGACTTGATGGCATGCAATAATATACAAGTAAATGGCTAAAATTTACCTTCATAAACTTTCTAAAGCATGACAGTCAGTGATTTTCCCTAATAGTGAAAACAGTATTGATCTTATTAAAAATAGCAACTTGAATAGAGTAGCTTTTAAAGCATAGTTTTGTGAATCATCTCTCAATTCTTTCGTCACAGGAGCTTTACATGTAAGCATATGAATATTAAAGGTTCACAAGTCAAGTTGAAAAAAAACAAATGTTTATTGTTTACAAATACAAATATATATATTTAAGAAAAGAATTCCCCACAAAAGATGCTATTCCCTCATTTCCCCATCTTCTTCCTCTTCTTCAACACCTCTGATATAAAGGACATTATTACACCTGTAAATTGAAAAATAATTCATTTTTAAGTTCCAACTGGAAAAAGAAATGAAACTACTATTCCATTGTGATTTTCTCATTATAAAAATACTGAATGCTAAATTCACAAATAACATCTCTAATTTTGGGGATTTTAATACAGATTAAAAACAAAATTTAAAAAGTACGTGGAATTAATTTTTCACCATAGAGTTGTTTAAAATTGCATCTTTATAATTTTCCAGCGGGAATGGAAGTTTAAACTAGCTTCATTTTTTAAAAGGGTACTTCTAAAAAGGTAATATACCTAAAAACCCCAATAGCAGTAAGAATCAAAATTTTAAACCAATCTCTTACAGAACTACTGAAAAAGGTATTCAAGTAAGGGCTAGAAATTTTAATATCATCACAAAAATCATATGCATGAAGGATCCCAACATATTTAAATCTTACTTTTGACAACTTTAATAACAATTGTTAAGACAATTCTGAAATTCAGACACTAGTTTATTTTTATAGAGCTTTCTAATGCTCACCAGTAATTCCTCACATATCCTTATTAAAACTTATTGTGTTATTATATTATATTATTATACTATATTAATAATATATTATGTTACCTTATTAAAACTTCACCCAGATGTCCAGACAATGCTCCATCTATGTATTCTTCTGTATTTGCAAGCTTCAAATAAAAAGAAACTTATTAGTATAACATTTGAGTAAAAATAGCATATAACATTTAATACTGGTGAAAGAGCTTGTTAAATGAGAACTTTCAGTACCAACTAGCTTTCTATTATTATCATAACATAGTTTTGTTTCTTACAATTCATTAAAGAAAACTATATAATTAACATATAAAAAAGCTGCTTTCAACATAATTTTTGCTCCTGGGTTATGAAACATTTTTATTAGGCATCAAAAGAATATGTTGAGGAAGTCAGTTTCTGATCATATTGGGGAGTCAAAAGGTTTCCCTAAAATTCAGTTCTAAAAATCTGATACTAACTTTTCGCAAAGTAATAAAGTTATAAGTCATAGTTTACCTAAGTGTATAAAAGTTATAGCTAAGATACTAAATATTTGTATAATTAATCAACTAAATCAGCAAAGAATTTTAAAAAATGTTAATCAACAGGCAAAAGACAAGGTGCAATTGTTTCTAGTATATCAATGTTTAACTTTCCTTCATATTGATAATAAATTTTACTCATAATTTTTAAAAATCAGTGTCATATGGAGTTCACAGTAGAAATTAACAGCAAGGGACAGAGGAATGTTTATGCAAAAAATCTACATCTAACAAAAAGTATCCTCCTATATCTGGAGGGTTTGAACGTATTTGAAACTTCGATAGTTGCCAAAAGATAGATAACCCGACAATGCATATCACAACATAGAAATCATCTATTTTTAAAACAGATCATATTTAGCCAATGTTCACTGAACATTCAGTTGGTATCAAAATTACATATTAATACCACACTTTGAAAGGAGGTATGTGGCTACCAGCCCAACATACCTTGCTATCCTCCTCCTCACTCTGTAAGAGATGCTCTAGCCTTCCTGTCCTTTAACATGCCAAGTATGCTTCTGTCAGCAATCTTTGTTGTACTTTTGGTTCCTGAAAGACGCCATATTCTTCCCAAATACCAGTGATGGTAGGTCAAGTCTACTGTTGAACTCGACTTCTTCAGAGAAGCTTCTTTAGTTATTATTGCATATTGTCACCATCTGTTGTTCTGCTTTGTGTTTCTTCATAGCATCTATCATTACCTGAGAGTACACTGTATTATCTTCAGAATTTAAAACATCAACCCCTTGAGGGGAAGAACTTTGTTTCAACCACTGCACACAGTGTAAGGCACAAAGCAGGGGCTCAGAACGCCAGTGTGGTTGGTTATTTAGGGATATATTTTGCAACTAATTCTTACAGGCTCACTTACCAGTTTCCTACTCATAGAAAACCTAGTACAACAAAGTGAAACAGTATCTGATTCTTTGTCATCCTCACAATCATTACCAGTGAGCCCACACTATAACCACTGTGTCAGTCCAACTCCTTCAGTGTCTTTTTAACTCCCCTTCTACCACAGGAAGCTGTATTATTTCTAAAGCCATGTATTCAATGGGTGGCCTACTTGTAAAGAATTGTTCTGCCAGCCCACACACAGTTTAAATCTGCCAGCTGCTTTGCTGGAGAAAGATGAGGAATCTCCTCCTATGTGATTAACTGTCCCTGAAAAAACTGCTGCAGAGTCAGCTATAGGTTGGTTCCGACTTGATGATACATTAACACTTTTTACATTGAGACTCCTATAGTATAAGAATAAAACAGAGAACACTGTTGGCCTAGTGTTAAGAAACTGCACTGTGATCCCAAAGTCACACAGTTGAAATCCATCAACTGCTCCACTGAAGAAAGATGGGTGAACTGCCTCTGATATCTCATCAGATGCTTTACCTAAAGGTTCACACTAAACAGCAACAAGTGTAATAAGCACTCTTTCAAAGTACACTGTTTAGTGGGTTTTAGTATGCAACCACCAAAACTAAAACCAAACCCACTGCGATCAAGTCTATTCCTATTCCTGAACGCTATCTACCAGGATTCTGAAGCTGTACATTGTTACAGGAGATTGCTCATCTTTTCTCCTATGGAGAAGCTGATGTATTTGAACTGTCCACTTTAAGGCTAACAGGTCCACACATACTGTCATCAAGGTTCTTTGGGTCATTACTACCCCTTATTGAATTCTAGAATTTTTTTTTATCCCAGTGGTTATACTTTTCATCATTTTTATGGTCTTAAGACTGCTGCTTTGGAAAATTTCCACACTAACATGCTCTACAACTCTGTGCGTGAGTTATAGGATGCTTAGATCAATAAGCATCATCTCTTCACGTAGTAAACTCTTTATTAAGGCTCACTAAAACATTTAAAGCAGTTAAACAGATATTCAGTCTAAGAATTCCTCTGGCTAGCTTAATTTCCCCATTAAAAAATGTTTTGATTTTTAAAGTTTACTGCTGTCCTTTGGGAACGGTAGAAGACTGGTGAAAGAAAGTAAGGCCTTGAACAAGGACTGACTCAGTGATTATCATATTAGGCTTGAGTATAACAAATCAAGAGGATGGTGCAGAACATGGCGAAGTTCAGATCTGTTGTTCACAGAATCACTATGAATCACCCTAACAACAACAGCACTGTCCTTGCAGCACTTTTTTAAATACACACTAAGAGTTTCCCTTGAGAAGTTTCTTCCAGAGCTAAGGCCTGGGAAAAAAAGCTTGTTTTCTCCCGCAAAATAGTACTAATGCCTCTTATTGCACCATGAATCAAATGTCTGAGCTCTTCTTATTCTATGAGGAGGCAAATTTACAGCTGAGTTTTGTTTAATCTCATCATAGACTTTATATATTAGTTATAACATCTTGGCCTTGACTCTACTCTTCGTTTTACTTTGGATTTATCTATTTCATTGTATGCCCTTATTTTGGTTTTCAGGTTTTTATTGGGGCTGTGGGGGACCCCCCCATCCTCGGAGGTGTTCACAATTTCTTCAGCCACTCCAGGATGGGACCCTGGGGGTCCTGGGGGTGACTGGGCACATCAGGCATGCTCCCATCATGTGGCACTGGGTAGCTGTAGGGAGAGATCTCGTTGATCATGGAGGCATACTTGGTGTAGGGGCTTAACGCGGGCAGAATTACAGCGAAACCTGCGATGGTGAAGGACAGGACCAGCACCGGCTCCTTGGCCCTGGCATTCTTGAGGAAGGCCGCAAGTCTAGTCACCATGGTGGCCTCGGCGGAGGCCTGCCTTTTTAGAAATTTAAATGCTTTGACAGAAGAGAATCTTAACTCTTTAGCTTACCTGCATGTTCATATAGCCATCTACAGATACGAGGTAGCCCTTGTACTCCATTCCCCATTTAAGTTTCACCATCACTGGCTTTCCCGTTAATCCATTCAGAAATGGTTTGGGATTGAGGGGTAAACTCTGCAAAGAAAAAAAAAAATCAGTGGATTTCCCCCACTTTGCTTGGCTTTTACCACCCAATTCTCATTAGTCAGTACTGTGATATTTCATGCAAGTGAAGCAAACACTTGACTTTCTTTCTCTCCTTTTTTAAACTATGAAAATGACTACATTATTTTCCACAATTATTTGTTTAAAAAGGCCAGAAATTTTTTTCTCCATAGTTTTAATTGGTTGTCATACAATCATTCATAGACATTGTTTTATAATTACAACTAATCAATCAATGCCTCTTATCACCACGTCTTATTAAATCCTCACTGCACCTTGAATTCCTTTACCCACCCACTCATCCATTAATCTCTGCTGCCCTAGTACTTCCCTCCTTCCCCCATGTCTTCTCCCCTACCTCCTCCCCAGTTATACATATCCAGAATCAAGAAATTACACATATTCAGGACAAGGAAATTTTAAACAATCAATTAAACAATTTTTTCTCCAATCTACTAAGACTTTCAGAATTATCTATTACTAAAAAAAAAAACAAAACACTGTTCTAGACTCTGAAGAAACAAAAGTGAAGACATATTTAAAAAAAAATAGTAGATATTATAGTCCCTGTCCTCAAGGAGCTCACATAGTTGAGGAAGACTTGTTGATTAAAAAAGTAAATAAGTAAATAAAAAAAAAATAATACAAGCATCATAGAAGAGATTAACTGGGGTACCAAACTCAATCCAGGAGAAAGAGGAAAGGCTGCCTGAAATAAGTAATGCCTTAGTCTGAAAGGATGGGAGGTATTCTCAATAAGGAAACAGAATTAATTATCCTCTAAGCAAATGAGGCAACATATGTAAAAGCAGGTAACCATGAAGCAACAAGAGTTTGAGCCCAATCAGTTGTCACAGTCTCAACTCATGGTGACCACATGGGTGCAAAGCAGAACTGGAGATGGCCAGGGCTTTACTTCAAGGTGCCTCTAGTGTGTTCAAACCCTCAACCTCTTGGTTAGGAGTCTGGGCACTTGACGTAATGCCACCCAGGGTCCCCTATGGCGAGCCCAGTATTGTCAGAGTGTCCAGAACACAGAAGGAAGCAGGGGCCAGAATACTACTACTCTTTAACTCTAGGGGCGAGGAGTAGGTATTACTATAATTTTCCTTTGTATCACTCATGCCTCACAAAGCCAACTCTATATAGTGGGCAGTTTGCGTTTGTGTATTCAGCAGACCAACAGGACCCTCAATACTGTCTTGTGGCGCCTCTGTGACCAGCAGGAAAGTGCCGTGGATCAAAGTGAACTAACTATTCAAGGTTTGCTTGAGTCAAGAGCTAAGGGGAGAAGGCTGAGTGTCCTCCAGACCTCTTCATCCTCACAGCCTTTTCTTTTCTAATTTATTTATTGTGCGTGTACCGTCAAATCAGATCTGACTGGTACAGGAGGGAAATTTTCCCTCCTTCTCTGGCAGAGCATCTGGTGGATTCAAACCATGTACCTCTGGGATTGCAGTACAGCTTCTTGCCACTAGGCCACCAGAGCTCCCCTCTCACAGCTTTTTCAATGACAAGTTTTTCATTACATAAGCAGAAGATATTAAATGGTCTTCGAGATGTTTTTTACTGTTTCTTTTCTTCACTGCTGAACTTCCCCGTTTCCATACCTACACCTTTATCAGGAAGTAGCTTAGTATGAGAGTCAAGGTTATGATGTCCCAGGGCAAGGGGGTCTTTTGGTCCTTACCCCAGGCTGCTAGCTCCTGCCTTGGTCAGCTTCACCCCTACACTTTCTCTTTACCGAACCTGTCCCCCTATCACCCCAAAGGAAGAAATCAACCCAGAAACTTGACTACACAAGTCTTCTAAGAGGGACCTCAGAGGGCACAGGGTCTCCAATTTTCACTCGTCTCTCTCCTTTTCAATCATCTTCCACTAGTTTCAGTGCAGCAGCTACCATTATTTTACAACTGCACCTTAAGTAAAAACCAAGCCTAGTAAGGCCTACGAGGTGCAGTCCAATGCCCCAGGACCTCTCTCACCCAGCTGATAACCTTCTTCTCACAACCATTGTCTTTCATTCCTGAAAGGTGTCAGCTGTTCTTTCTGGCTTTTACTCACAATGCTAGTCTGTGCTCAGTAAACCCCTATCCTTCAAGGAGCGAGATTTCCTATCATTCGGGTCTCTAGTCAAGCCCTGTCGGCGAGATTCCTGGTCGCCTGTCCAAGGCACAAAGCACCGTCTGACCGTGTTCACGTCCCCTCTAACTCTTCTATTCGACCACGGTCTGGATGCCCTTGCCAGCTCCCGGCCCGCATCAGGCCTTTTCACCCAGCATTTCTTTATTGTTGTCATTTTTTTTTTTAATGTGTGTACCGTCAAATTGGATCTGACTGGTACAGGAGGCGATTGATTGATCCTCCTTCTTCAGCAGAGCATCTGGTGGATTTGAACCACAAACCTCTGGGATTGCAGTGCAGTTTCCTGCCACTAGGCTTACCCAGCATTTCTAACGCCGTGAACAGGCACGGACCATCAGGATTTGCACCAGCATTTCTTTTTTTTTTTTTTTCTCTATATTTTATTAATTTTCATAAACATTTACAGAGATTTTGGGTTTCCATTCATTCATTGTTGCACTATTCTCTCTACCCTCCTCCCAGTTTGTTCTTGTCCAAATGCCACAGTGCTTGTCAAAGCCAGTTCTGATTAATCTTCTTTGTCAGTGTGTCCTTTGCCATTCCCTATCACTCCTCCCTGAGAGAGACTTCACCCTGAGTCATAAGGAAAAGGGGATGGCGTATTCTCTTAGCTACTGCACCCAGCATTTCTAACGCCGTGAACAGGCACGGGCCATCAGGATTTGCACCCAGCATTTCCAACACCGTGAACAGGCACGGACGATCAGGATTTGCGGAGTAAAATGAACGCTCGGCAGCCCGAGCTTCGGGCGCCAGAGGGCCGCGGCAGCATCACTGAATCAAAGGGCATTCGGACTGCGTTGCGCGGCAAAGGAAAGCCGGCAGCTGCAAGCTCCCTTTCATTGTCCGCCCGGCCCGGAAGGGAAACCTCGGGCCTGGCTGCTAACGAAGAAGAGGAGATAGGAGGATGGCGTGCTCATGGTCAAGGGAGAGCTCTAGGAGGGCCTCTAAGTCACCAGCTGCGGGAGAAAGGGACTAGCGAGAGATTCAAAGCGAATTCCACGGATGAATGGGGACCGCGCGAAACCACCACCAAGCTTCGACGAGACAGGTGGCCTTCTCTTTCTCTCTCTCCCCGGCGACTCGCGCCATTCTCTCCTTACCATCGCGACTACAGGCGAATGGTGCAGGCTTCTAGCCGCCGACCCAGCTGTCGTCTGACCCTCGTGACAGGAGGAGCAGCCTAGGCCCGAGAAGCGGGGCTCTCAAAGAAATGGCCGCCAAAATCAGCGTAACCTTTGACCGCAACCTCAGTCCTTTGGGCTTCTCTGATTGGATGAAAAGAGGTGCGTGTTGATTGGAGGAGGCGGTGGCTGGGGCAGTTGCCTGGCAACCGTGGGCGTTCTTTTTCTAGTGGGTGCCTTTGCATTCAAAGGCTTGGGGTCCGAAGTCAGGTTTCTCTTTCGAGTATAAGCCTGTATTGGGTGACTTAAAATAACGTTGTAAAACAGACTTAATTTCTCGCGAGTTTGTCTAATAAGAGTTTCCTTTGTCCTTTTACTCAAGTGAAAATTAATTTGGGCGTTCGAATTGTCTTTCTCATTTTCCCAATGATTCTGTGACTGGGACATCCTCAGCCGCGGTCTCCTTGTACCTGAGTTTTCGCTACTAATGTTCTTTAGTAGTTTTGTGGTGGTGGTGGTGGTGCTTGATGCTGAAAGCTCATGCCACCTCTGTGTCAGGTGCCATAAGGGGTAACTCAGGTTGAACAGGTTTTAGTAGAGTTCCCATATTAAGACAGACTAGGAACCAGTCCCTGGAGAAGAGCATCAGGCTTGCAAGGGTGGACACACAACATAGGAGAGGACTCTGAACGAGATGGATGGGGTAATAGAGTTAGATGTGTCGGAGTTAGACTGGCTCAGGATAGAGCAGAGTCCGGAGCTGTTGGGCATAGGGTCGCTGTTAGTCGCAGGCTACTCGATGGCACATAAACAAAAAGGAAACAGGATTGGCCATCCACTTCTTAAATAGCAGGTCTCTGAAAACCCTTTGAAAAGTAGAGGAACACGGATGGTTACACAGTATTATAGGTAGAGCCCAGACTGGAAGTCAAGCAAAATGAGGAAGAACAAGTGGTAAACTTTTTTTTTTAATAATTGGAATGTGGAATAAATGTTGGAAAATTAGAAGTTGTCAAAAATTAAATAGAGGGCATAAACATTGACATTTTACAAATTGGTGAGATGAGATGGACTAACTTTGGCTGTCTTGAATCAGACAGTTACATGGTATACTATGGTGGGAATTAAAAGCAAGAATGATATTGCATTCATAGTAAAAAAGTTAATTTCAAATTCTATCCTAATGTACAATGTTGTGAGTTGTAGGATATAATTTATATGCATACAAGGAAGACCTGCTAATACAACTATAATTCAAATGTATGCTTCTAAAGCTAAAGCCAACGAGGAGGAAATGGAAATTTTTTATCAAATCCTGCAGTCCAAAATTGAAAAAACATGCAGTTAGGATGTGTTAATGATAATTGGTGACTAGAATATCAAAGTTGGAAATAATGAAGACGGAATGGTAGTCGAAGAGTATGGACTTGGTGACAGAAATGAGGCTGTAAATAGAATGACCAAATTTTGTACATTCAATGATTTATTCATTGCAAATACTTTTAAAAACACAAATGGCGATTTTACCTCATCTGATGGTCTACATAGGAATCAGATTGACTATATCTGTGGAAGGAAACGTTGGAGAAGTTCAGTATTAGGAGTCAAAAGTGGGCTAGGGCTGACTGTGGAGCGGACCATCAATTATTCATGTGCAAATTCTCCCTGTAGTAGTGTATGAAATTGATTTTTCTCCTGTTAAATAGTCACTTTAACTTGTTGTTGTTATGTGCCATCGAGTTACTTGCAACCCTATGTACAAGAGCTCTAAATGCTGTTCTATCCTGTGTCAACATGGCCATCTCAAACGCACATATTCCCACCGTTCCAGTGGAGAAGAATGGGAATCCCAAAACACTTGATCGTGCTAATGCGAAACCTATTCTTGGACCAGGAGGCAGTC